CTTTGATTACTTTCATTAACCACAATTCCTTATCTGAGTGTATAATATTGGTTATGCACAACATCATATCATTGTGAAAACATTGTTTGATATACAATGGCAGTCCAAGACCAGGGGCTTACTGCATTTCCCAGTCTGGTGCCCAAATGCATTGAGCTGCAGTGTCTAACATCTATGAACATACTAGCTGTGGCTTGAGAATACTACAGTCCATTGAATCTAAAGGGCACCTGGTTGAAGAAAATTACATTTGGCTGATCTTAAAAACCTAAGCAGACTCATTCCTGGTTACTATTTGGATTGGAGACTATCAGGAAATACCACATTGTAGATGAGATGTAAGTAGATGATTTGTCCAACTCAGGCCTTTAAGTTCTTCTAATATGCAATATCCATCATTGCAATCATTGAGTTCTTACTACTGGTTGTCCTCTTCTTCCCCTTTTGTCATTCTTCTCCAGATTTGAAGTCATATTTTGGTTAGAATTAAAATATATCACTTTAGAATTTGGTGTACTCTATAGGGTGATGTCCATGTACATGGATATCATTTTGGTGTTTGCAGACTGTGTCAAATATGAAACAATAATTAGATTGGTATAAACTGGCAAGTCGTTCTCCTGCTTAATTTCAATCTCCTAAGCCTATTTTTAGTTGAACTACTTTTTCCTCCTTGTTCTTTCTAACTTTGCATTCCAGTTTTCATTCACAAAACATTGTCAACCTCTTCTTTTGCCTCAGTGGTTAGAGCATAAACTTGGATAGTCATTATGTTGCAGTTTTCAACAAAGTCTAATTGACCTTATTCAGTCATTGATTACATTTTACAAAAGAATGGTCCTTTCTATATCCTTCCTATGAAAGCAATGCTGTTCCTTCTTGTTTTTCATGTCCTAAATAGTAAACAGTATGATCTTCTGAAAGTGTCTAACTCTAGTCTGTTTCAATTCACTAATGACTAAGATATCAATGTACGGTTGATTCATTCATGCTTCTTACATTCCATGTTCCCACTACAATTCTATTTTTGCAGCTTTGATTTTCTTTTCCTGCATAGAAAGAAATCAATCACTAGACTTCCCATAGATTTTAATTTAGCCACTCATAAGCACTATTAGTACTCCCAAATATGCTCAGCTACTCTGGGGTAGCATGTTGACTACCTTCTGATTTGACAGGCCCATCATCTGGGATTATATCATCAATCACTTTGTTTTCATCTTTATTCTTGAATCCAGAGATTATTTTTTTAAAAAGTAGAAAGTACACAATGTGTTAGTGAGAATAATAATCCTGTATTTTTAACAATGATATTATAGTCTTTCAATTAATTTGCAAAGGAAATGTAGTACAATTATGTAGTAATTCCAACATTTTGCACATGTATGTTCTTAGGAAATTCCTAGCTATTTGTTTAATCCCAGTAATTAGAGGGCAGAGTTGCTGTTGCTTCCAAAAACTGGCAAAAGCCGATATTGATATTTACAGAAGTGGAAACTATTAAAATAAATAAATGGCGCCTACAGTGTAGCTGTTCAGAATTATGCATTCTTATTCATTCAAGCATGTGACAAAGTAATGCTGAGACATCTGTTTGAGGGATACTAGCACCTAACATTTTGGCTGTCTCCTCACCAATTTGGATTATTAATAAACATGAGGAGAAGCTGTTGTTCAGTGAGGTATAATGATGTGCCATGTGAAATTTTTTCCCTCTTCTCAGGAAAAAAAAGAATATCCATAAAATGCATTTACTATACAAACATCAAATATTGGATTCCATTAATAAGATTTGCATTAAAAAATGCTCCTATCCAACTGCAGTCCAATCATGCAAACTCACAGACTTTGTAGTAGAGGGATAGACTCAAGATCCAGTGAAGTTCTAGAACCTCTTTACAAAGCCTTACTAAGATCACACTTGGAATACCACATCCAGTTCTGGTCACAATACAAAATGGGTATTGAGACTCTGGAAAGAGTGCAGAGAAGAGCAACAAAAATGATCAGGAGGCTGGAGGTTAAAACTTTTGAAGAATGGTTACAGATACTGGGTATGTCTAGTCTAATGAAAGGAAGGACCAGGGGGGAGATGATAGCACTGTTCCAATATTTGAGGGACTACTACAAAGACAAGGGGGTCAAACTATTTTACAAAGCACCAAAACACAAGACAAGAAACAATGATTAGAAACTAACCAAGGAGAGAAGCAACCTAGAACTAAGGAGATTTCCTAAGGGTGAGAGCAATTAACCAATGGAATAGCTTGCTTTCAGAGGTTGTAAGTGCTTTATCACTGAAGGCTTTCAAAAACAGATTGGACAATAATTTGTCTGAAATGAAATAGGGTCTCCTGCTCAAGCAGAGGGTTGGATTAGAAGATGTCCAAGATCCCTTCCATCTCTAGTAGTCTATGTGCTATGTTCTAGACCAGTGGTAACAGAACTAGTAAATACACATCCCTCCTTGATCCTTCAAAGTGACCAATTATGTAGCATAATTCCCATAAATTGACTTACAAAAGAGAGAGATTGTGCAGGGTAGATGCCAACATGATTACAGACTGATAAAAGTGGCCCCTTCAGTAAACTCGCTGCTACAATGAGAGGGGAACATTTGCCAGTCAACTGATTTACTAGAATGAATTCAATTGTTCATTCTGTATAATAGCAGCAGAATTTACTACCAACATATCAGAAAAACATTTCCAATGCCACAATTTTTTTCTTTTTCCAAAGAACTGTATTATCATTTGCTTAGTCATAACAATTTTTCATGATTGTGCAAATCTACATATATACTCCACACCTTTTCCCTGTTTAAGGTAATTGTTTTAAGTTTGGAATAATCAGCATTCTCTCATTTAGCATGTAGATAGAACTAAGAAGTAGTGTGGTCCCATGCTAATAAACTAAATCCAACTGAAACCTTATTTATTAAACTTCCTAATTCTGATCAATAATTAGGCTCATGTTAGCACCCCAATGCTATGGCTGGTGCAGCGGTTCTCAACCTGTGGGTCGCAACCACTTTGGGGGTTGAACGACCCTTTCACAGGGGTCACCTAAGACCATCTGAAAAGAAACTCTAATGTTGCTTTCGGTATCAGAAAAAGTTCAGAGCCAGTATTGAGAAGAGATGAAAATTGTTTTAAAGCTATGGTATATTTTATATATTTTATATTTCTTACTGATATTGCATATGATTAAAATAGAATTTTCATCTTTATGTTAATGAAGCAGTGTTCTAATTAAAATCAACACTGAGTGAACTTTCTATTTACATGCTTTCAGTTAGCCCAAGAGGAAGGAACTTTGCTTCAGAGCATATGTGAATCCTAGTGTTTCTATCATCCAGGTGCCATTTCTGACAGAACACATGTGCTCTGAACAGTTGGCAATGAACAAAAAAGATGACTGCTGATACCCAGCTATAGAGGAGTCAGGAGGATGCTGAAAATAAATTTGCACCAAAGTGGCAATGAAATGGGAATTACTTTTTCTGAGCAGAGAGGATTGATGTAGTCACAATATAGATATGTTGAAATTAAAAATGAGTAATACCGGGTATATGGCTATTTGATCTCTTCTTTCAACCCTTAGTAAGGGTTTTATTCCTTACTAAGGTGAAACTTCCCATAAAAAAGATATAGTAGAACATGAGTCAATGGTAGCTTGGTGTTGCCCTTTCTGTGAGTCAATGTTGCATAGTACCTATCCCTTTTTTACTAGAGGATTTGGAATAAATTTCCCTAGTTCTTGATTCTGGTTTTTCTCACAAACAGCAGCATTCAAACATTGTTTAATTTGGTGTTAGGAAATACATTCAAATACATATATCACACATCTCTGATATCTTCTTGGTTTTTACTGTAACTATTGCTTTAATACAGGGGTGTTAAACTGCCCGCCCACAGGCTGGTTGCATCATGCAGGGGCCGCGCCCACCTCAGCTCCGGCAATGCAAAAAAAGTTGCGATATGTCGCAACACGTCATATGACGTGGCGAGTTTGACATCCATGCTCTAATAGAATCCCCAGTTGTTGTTGTTTTTCCTAAAAGAAACTTTTAACTCAAGGTACCCATTGCAAATTGTTTTTAAAAAATACCTACATAAAAAGTACTTTGTGGACATCTGCACTTGCAGAGGTGCAACCGGCTTCGTAGAATTTTTGAACATGCATATTTCAGAATGGTTTCCATTTAACTGAAAGGCCTTATATTTGAATTAGGCTGTGCTCTGTGCTCTACTCCTACTGTGAAACATTTTGACTTCTAGGGCTTTGCTACAGGGCTAATATGCATGTTTTTTACATAATATTAAAATCAGTGATTTTTGTTCCACAAAAAAGAAACTTTTAAAGTGGAATATAAGCATGTGATTTGTTGTCCTATCAAAAACAAAAATATATGAAATGTGATGTTGATACATTGGTCCTACAAAGAATAGTGTAGTAAGACACTCGCTTCCCAGCAAATCAATTTAACTTACAAAGCAAAGTATGTTACAGGTAATCTTCAACTTACAACCAGACATTTAGTGACCTTTAGAAGATATGATGGACTTCCCCAGTGTTACATATGACCTGGTTTTGAAGTCCTAATAGCTGCTTCCCCATGGTTACATGATCACATTGGCAACTGGTGTGCATTTACAGCTGTTTGTAGCATCCCATAGTCACATGGTGATTTACAACAGTTTTCGCTTGAAATTGGCATTTGCCTCCAGTTTGTCAACAGCAGCATTCACTTAATGGCCCCTGCAAAAAAAAAGTCATAAAATGGGCTGCAGGCACATGATGACCCACTTAACAACTGGCCAGACTTAAGACCATAATTCTGCACTCAGTTACAATTGTAAGTCAAGGACCAGCTGTATATATAGTTTTTAATCCAAAAAATATTGTGCATGACATACATACCATTTAGCCCACACACACACACACACACACACACGAGCAACAAAGATGATCAGAGGACTGGAGACTAAAACATATAAAGAATGGTTGCTGGAATTGGGTATGTCTAGTTTAATGAATGTTGGAGATAAGAATTAAGAATGTGCCCGATCACTCACACAACAATTAGTGAAACCTGGAAGTAATAGAAATATGTCTACAGATATCACAGATTATATTGGTTTGTGTTTGAGTCATATCTGTAATTTGTGTTTGTTGCCAAGCTCTAAGGAAATCAAATTCTTTTCACCCACATACTAACACTAATGAATATAGAAAATTGTTTTCTGGAATGTAACATTTCCAGTTTCAAAAAAAAATGAGGAAAAAGATCAGCTTTAGCCAATAAACTACAGTTTGAAAAGGAGAAGAACCTCATCAGTATCCATAAGGCTGGCTGAGATAGTCTCAAGGGTGTTATTAATTTCTGAGTTACAGGAACTGATTCCCATTTTGTTCAACTTCATGACGAGCAGCTTTTCATGGCTGAAGTCAACAAGAGTAATGTTTTTTTCTAGAAGAAATCTTCAAAAACAATTTGACTAATTTCCATCCTTTTCCAGACCTAGGTCGTCTTCTTCAGAAAGGTTAAGATAAAAGAAAGCATAACATGCCAATAAAAATACCAATATAGCTGCAAGGACAAGGGTGACTTCCTGTAATAAAAAGAAAAAAAAGTTAGGTATCATTTTAAGTTAAGTAAGAGCTGATATTTAAATTTATAAATATAAATATTATAATCAGTAATAGCCAAATGGTTTTTAATATAGACCATAATCCAGCAATTGAAAGTAGTGCATTGGAGATTTTTTTTTTTTAATCTCATACCCAAGAGAATTAGAACACATGGTGATATCTACTTGGATAGGAGATCATGAGCAAATTTAAGGGATATAGATTGCACTAGTAATTTTTTTTAATAAACAATCCAGAAAGAAGGCAATGGCAAACCATTTCTGTATTGCTGTCAAGTAAACTATCTGAATACATCTACATAATTGAGGAAGTTTTTGTTTTCACTTTTAACTTCAGGGTCCCGACCTTAACACAATTTTATTTTAAAACAGCTATCTTTTGCCAATATTTTCTAGACTGAAGCTATGAACTTTGTTAGGAAAGCTGGAACGTTGGTTAGTAGCCCTTGAAAATACAGTCCAGTGATGAGGGATTTGAGGTATTATACTTCAGCACAAAGCTATTTCAGATTATGACTTCCAACCTGTTCTAGACTAGACATATCATAAACACAACTGAAATATTACACGAAGATCTGGAGAAACATAAGTCAGATGGGGAATTTAGTTTTTCTTGCCACAATCTTAATGTAACTCATTTTTCACCTTCCTCTGGACACACAATTTGTCAGAGGATGCTGTTTTAAACTGGAATAAAAGCTCTTATTATTGCCAGTTTTTATGGTAGCAAGGGGCATTTTTGACTGGAATCAGGATCACTCTCATTGTGGTTTCAGTCTTGCTTATTGTCTACAGAGAGGTTACATATAGTAGTTATATTAGGGGTCAGCAACATTTTCTATTGGTGGACATCATTGTGATTTCACATATGCATACATATACAAGGCTATGTGGTGTACTGGTTACAGTACTAGACTGGAATGAATAGAACCAAGTTTTATTCCTCATTTAGGCATGGAAACCAGTTGGATGACTTTAGACCAATCAATCCCACTTAGGCTTAGAGCCAAAAAAGATCTAGGTATTCATTCTGCAGGATGTCTATGGAGATTCTCAGTTATCCAAGTCATGGTTGTCCCCAAGGTACTTTTTCAAGAATATATACATACATATGGTAGTTTTGATTAGGTAATTATTTAGCCTAGAAAGTTTCCTACTGAAAAAAGTTTGCAATCATGGGGAATTATTTTAATTTGTGAGGGGCAGAATTCACAGAAGACTTTAGGGTCATTTAATATTTCATGTCATCCAGTCATAAAAGTATATAGCTCTTTAAATCTTTCAGCTTTAAAAAGTAACTTGCCTACTGCATATGCAAAACAACTGAAATCCATAATAGGTACGTAAAACTTGTTGAAAGATATGAGTTTTATGCAAGGTATGATTGTCGCTTGGGTCTCAAATTTGCAACATGGAGTATTAGAGAAGGCACCATATACATTTTTAAATAAAATAAAATATCATTTTAACAATAAAGCTTTGGATAAACAAGAGACTACAGAGAAAAGAGATAAATGGGATTTGGAAGCAGATTTATTCTGCATTACATAGATCAGAATGGACTGAATGATTTTCTCAAGGCAATGATTTTCTTTTCATGATCATTAAAAAAAATAACCAAATTTAAAAGAAGGAACATTGTTCTAAAAAATAAAATTTCCCGTCAACTTCTGAGAATGGGGAGATCTACCGGCTGATCTGGTATGTTCTTCTGGAACATATTTTATTCACATTTACAAGAATCCATGTTATATTTTTGCAATATTTTAGATGCATAAATTCAGTATATACCATTTACATACTTTTCAGTCATAGCTTTCTTGGGTTAAGGTTTCTCTGTGAATTATCATTCTGCAGATAGCCCAAATTTTCTTTTCCAGACAAATCATTTGACTCGTGAACTCTTAAAAAAAAAACCCACCCTATTTATATTACTGGTATTCTTCTACTCCCAATCTCCATTTTTTTGTAAAAAAATATATAAGAAGGTTGTTTTAAGCTTCCGTATTATCTTCTGGCTTCATCTAATAGAATTAAAAACACAGATCATCTCCAAAATTATTCTAGGAAACCAAACAGGAAGCTACTCATAAATCTAAACTATAAAAATGCAGTGACGGTCTAGAATTGGATGCATTTATTCATACTCTTATGTCTGTTTCAATGGCAGATTCATCTAGCACCTCAAGAAATCACAATGCATGAATGGCACGCAACCGCAAGCTTCTTCTGCTCAGGAGCAGATAATGAGATCCTACCATCTCCCTGGATATTATACTTTCTACTGTGCCTGCTTTTCCCATTTCATTTTTCCTGGTAGCTGGCTTTCTCCCTAGGCTAAACTAGCTTCAAAATTGGACCCAATTGATTAATGGCTTGGTTGTTATGTATTTCTCTCATTATATGTTATGTATTTCTCTCATTATATTAAACCTCACCAAAATCCCATCGTGCACTGAAGTCATCTGAAAATTATAAGAAATGCCATTCCTTTTCCACTTGTGTTTTTAAACTGAATCCTAGAAGCTCATCAGAATTTCTTAGTAAAAAAATAGCAATGCTGTACAAAATTGTCTTGTCAGCTTGTTTATCCCTGTTGCCCTCACCTTGCAGCATGCCCCTCCTTGCTTTCTGTTCTTTTTAAACAAATAATGTTTACTGAAGTTTTTCAACAGAATTAAAAAAAAATGAATTAAAGAAGAATAAAGAAAAGTAATAAGAAATGAAAAAGAAATATAGAGAAGAAAAACTAGAAAAGGAGACAGGAGAGAAGAAAGAGGAGAGAGGAAAAAGGAGAGGAAAAAGAAAAGAAAGGAAGATTCTAAAGGCTTCTGATCTTCTTGAAAATGGTTATAGATACTGTACCTTTATATTTTATTCTTTATCTCTATGGCTACTTCATAATTTCCTCTTTCTCTAAGCTATCTTTTTAAATCTTAAAACCATAAATCACAAATTTATTTTTCTGTTTTTTTCAGCAAAGTCCATAAAGGGTTTCCAGTTACTAATAAATATTATTGATCTTTCTCTAATAAAATAAGTTAATTTTGCCATCTCTGCTAGTTCTGTCATCTTCACAGACCCAACCATCCAACATGTATTTCAGAGTCTTTCACATTTTTGCACAGTTTCACAGCAGTAATCTTATGTAAATATAATTTCTCATGGTTCTTTTCTAACTGACCGTTATTAATCCAGCAAATAAAAAGTTTTAGTTTTATTCACTGTTGATTGCTAAAATTCTTTGTATCATTATATGTAATTGAACCCCAAAATTTCTGGCTTTTTTATAAGTCCACTAGGCATGATAAAATGTCTCTTCATGTTATCTATATTTCCAACTTAAATCTAAAGTAACTTTACACAGTGTAGACAATTTTCCTGGAGTCATACACCAATGGTACAACTTGGTTCAAAAAATTATCTTTAAGTGATAACATAATATAAATGTTAATCATTTTACCCACATATTTTCATGGTGTTCAATCAATATGTTATGTTCACTTAGTCCATCTTATCATACAGTCTTTCACTTGTTATTCTTCCATTTCAAATTTCAATAAACGTTTATACATATCAGCTCAATTATATATTTTCTGTTCTCAGATGTTAGCAGTAAATCTTAACCATTTAATGTTTCCTATGAAGTTTCCTAAGGATGTTCCTGATCCTTTGCAACAGCCTTTGTCAAGCTGATATCCTCTAGTTATAAAAATTATGGGAGAAGTTAACACTGTCGGAGGAAAATACCCAAACGTTTCTCACTGGTTAATGTTAAGCATTCTTAGAAGCATTCTTAGTTTAAGAAAATCTATTGGCTGATCTCCCATATCACATTAAGCCATAGTTACTCAATCACAGCTTTCGATATAAATTACAACTATCTGGATTTAACCAACATATTATGCAAAAAATAAACAAACTACACTTGGGTTTAATTCAATATCTGGATAAAGTTATTTTGTTAAAGCAGATTAGGTATTTAACAAAGTATCTTGTGAGACATGTCATGTAACTGAGGTCCTGTTCATTTCTAAAATTGGAGAAATTATGAATGATGGCCATGGTTTGGATGCAGGTATGATTTTTGTTAAATAGCTAAAAACAATACCCATGAAAGTAGCATTTTAATACTGAAACTATCAACACATGAATAGCTTGTAATATGTATCAAAAAGCATATAAATACAGCAATCAAACAGTCATCCTTCTTCAGGAAGAATAAAAAATAGTGGATATTTATTGCTCACAAGTTGCTACATTGACATTATCAACACAGATAAAAATCACTCTTTGGGGAAATTAACAAAGTATTAAATGGCAATGACTAAATGAAACTTTTTTATTTTCAAGCCTACATGAAAATGGCAGGCAATCAAAATATACCAGAGTAAACTAATTAACATGCTAGAGATGAAATCAAAAGTACCACACTGGGGGTTGATTTAGAAAAGTTAAGGGCCCTACTCTTAGGGGAAAAAACCTGAAACTTTTGCAAACTTTTGCAAACCCACTTCAAGCTCCAGGGAAAGCAGGAGATCCAGGCAGTTCAAATGGGTATAAAGATTTATTGTAAGCTTAAGCTCTCTACAAGAATCTGAACTGCTAATGGTCAAATCAATTTGGTGGTAGATAAGGAATTCACAATGGGCTGGACTTAGATCTTTTGTGAGCACAAAGGGACTCATGACTGATTACCCATTTGACCCTTCCTTTGGGCTTAGCCTGGTCATCTCTTACACCTACATCCCTAATGACAATCCAATCACTGCAGTAAATAAAGTAAATCTTGAAAGAATGTTTTATTGAGTATTTTCTGAAATGCAATGAAATCAGAGTTCCATTTTGAACAATAACAGATCATCCAACCTAGTAATAGCTGGCATTTCCTTTCTTTATGAAATTGTTCTCATCCTTTATTTGTCTGTTTCCATACTACCTACAGGTTGTTCTTTCCAGTGTAATGAAATATACCGATAAGTATAAATGGCTACATACCATGGACCTACATACCATCTTTATATTCGTCACCACACAGCTAACAAGAGCCTGTGCAATACTTGCTCTGTGAACATTTGTTGGGGTTGAATGCAAAGCTCTCCTAAACTAGCAAACTGATTTTAGGATTTTAATACCATATTTACAGGTAGCCCTCAATTTACAATAGTTCACTTAGTGACTGTTTGAAGTTACAATGGTACTGAAAAAAGTGACTTATGTCCATTTTTCACACTTATGACCATTGCAGCTTCCTCATGGTCACATGATTTACATTCGGATGTTTGACAACTGACTCACATTTATGACAGTTGCAGTTTCTTGGGTTCATGTGAACACCTTTGCAATCTTCTGACAAGCAAAGTCAATGGGAAAACCAGATTCTGAAACATATTTTGGGATCAACATCACAAAATTGATAAGCATCCTTGTTTTAAAATAGCTTATGAGCTATAGTAGATCAAATAAATATTGTCCCAAGTAATATGATCCAAGGCCTGGAGACGTTTGATCAAACATATGAAGAACGGCTGTAGGACTTGGGTTTGGCTAGTCTAAAGAAAGGAAGAAATTGGAGTGACATGATAGCAGTATTCCAGTATTTGAGAAGCTGCCACAAAGAAGAGAGGGTCAAATTATTCTCCAAAGCACCAGAGGGCAGGACAAGAAATGGTTGGTTGGAAACTGATCAAACAGAGAAGCAACCTGGAAATAAGGAGAAACTTCCTAATAGTGAGGACAATTAACCAGTGGAACAGCTTGCCTTCAGAAATTGTGGGCCCTCCATCACTGGTGGTTTTTAAGAAGAGACTGGACAGTCACTTGTCTGAGATGGTTCTCCTGCTTGAGCACGGGGCTGGACTAGAAGACCTTCAAGGTCTGGTCTATTCTATTCTATTCTATTTTATTCTATTCTATTCTATTCTATTCTATTCTATTCTATTCTATTCTATTCTATTCTATTCTATCCTATCCTATCCCATCCCATCCCATCCCATCCCATCCCATCCCATCCCATCCCATCCCATCCCATCCCATCCCATTCATTAGATTTTGGCATTCAGTTTAATTAGCAGTGCCATAAACTAATTTTCAACCAAAACATCAATGTCATAAACAATCTCTAAAGAACAATATTCATCCAACAGTTTTTTCTGGTTAAAAACCTCAATATTTATTAGACGATGATGTAAATATTTAGTAGCCATACCTTTATGCCTGGTGCAGTTTTTTTGGCCTCTGCTTTCAGTCTTGCTGCTTTTAACATAGGTTTGGTTTTCTTATAATCTTGTTTTCCTGTTGACGAAGGGGAAAAATGTATTATTGAATGCCCTCCAGAGAAATGAGAGACAATTGTTTAATGACTGTGGCATACCCAGAAGAAGAGGGAGTTGCTACCTTTAATAGCCACAGAGAACTAGTATGGAATTGGTAGCTCAATGACACTGAGACGTTTGCTTAAAAGGGGGTTACATGGTTAAATGATATGAACAATTTATTATTTTGTGCTTGGGATGGTCATGTACAAATGATTATTGTAAAATACTGCTGCCATAACATACCACACTGTCATTCCAAATCCAGTATATGCACATAGAACAGAGCAATTATTTAATGAAAAAAAATCACACAACAGTCAAAATGTATATAATATTTCCATGCAGTGAGGTTAATTCATTAAATTACATTTTGAGGCCACCTAATTTCTTAATAACTTTGGGTCACTTGTAATTAAAAAACAAAAACAACATATATAGAAAAAATTACAGCAGACTGGAAGTATCTACACTACCAGTAAAAAAAACTCAAAACCATGGATGGACCACAATCACTCCTTTCCAAGACCCATGGAAACAACCAAGTTGTCATTAGGATGGGAGTCAAACAAATCTTGGGCGGGGGTAATATAACTCCACAGTAGGGGAGAGCAACTATGGTAATTTTATGACTTGTGGACTTCAACTCCCAGAATTCCTGAACCAACCATCCATCCAGAGAATAGCATGCTTTCTCTGTTTGCCATGAAAAAGTCTACTCTTTGGAAATAACTGTATTGTGCATAAAAGATGATTATCCCTATTCCATATTCAGTCCTTAAAATAAGATGCATTCCTCCTTAGTAATGATAGGTTTTGACAACTTTGAAATAATGTCAACTGCATTATAGCAGTTTGCTTCTCTGCCTTGGCAGAGTCAGATTAGCTGAAAGCTATACTTTATAAGGTTGTTGTTTAGGCTACAATCATAGGCAAATATATTGAAAATAAGTACCATGCCAAGTATTTGTTAGACCCAAGTTTTTATGAAACTATTACCATTTGGGGCAAGAAATGGGAGATCAGTAAAAGGTATCTGAAAAATCTATTTCATAATATGTTTTGATGCTGCATAGAGCCATTTGTCATGTTAAAAAAAGATTTTCCCATGAATCTACTCTTCAGAATTCTTACATTATAAAAAAATTGTGTCCTACTCCACAAATTTAAATGCCATTTCTGCAAATCTACCCTATCAAATGCTAGTCTGTGGTGTTTTTCTTGATTGCTAGTTCCTTTCTCCTCAGCCTCTTTTGAAAAACAGCTTGAACTTCTAGTATCTCCCTTTTTACCTAGGGCTGTAATTTATTTTGGATGTTCCTAAGCATTATTTTGCTAGCATATAAAATGAAGGATATCGTATGATAGTTTTCAATCTGTTATGTCTCCTTTCTTTGATATAGATATATAAGTTAACCTGTTCTAATCTGTTCACAGTTGGTTGTTCTCCAGATTTGCTGGTATACTTTGGTTAGAGTATTTTAGTAGTCATCCTTAACAATTTTCTTGATTAATTCCACAGTTTCTTTGGATCTCCATCAATGAAAAAATTATTGGATTTGCAGAAACTGGCATTTATTCCAAAGCCATAGACTCCAATTATCTTTTCTCTTTATTATTTCCAACTGGCATTCAGTCTCCAGACACAACAAGGACAACTAGTTTATTACTTATTTAGTGTATGATGGGAGCATGTCAAAAGTTAAGTAAACATATATACACAATCCACGTAAGTATATACAAAACTTCTACAGGGGTACAGCATGGCTTCATAACTGGATGTCCAATTCAGCTATCCTGGTGTTGCTTTGTGCAGATCTTCTAGGGAGCTGAAGAGCACACATTGCGGGCAATCTTGCACAATGTTTAATAGTTTGCATATCAGCACCATAACTGCAATAAGGACAACAAGCTTGTATGTTCTTTCAACGTCATATTGAACTTAACCATAAAACCTGTCAGCCTCTTATGCTTCAGTGATTGAAACATAAACTTGAAAACAGTAACCATCTTATGAAAGGGTAGTCCATCAGGTATAATTGATATTATTTCACCATTGACCCCACCTAAGTACTGTTCTTGTTATATCTTTCCTATAAAAGCAACACCATTCCTTCTTTCTTCTTTGTGTCCCAAGTAGTAAACAGTATGATTTTCTGAATGAAAGTTTCCAATTGCAGTCCATTTATTTATTTTATTTTATTTATTTATTTAATTTAATTTATATGCCGCCCTTCTCCCAGCGGGACTCAGGGTGGCGCACAACATATTTAAAACCAAAGTATATATACAATCCCCCCCTTAAAACCGAATTAAACCAAATTTTAAAGTTGTGTCTTCCAAATTCCTAAAAAACCCAATTCATTAATGCCCAATATGCCAATGGATAGCTGATTCATTTTATCTTTCACTGTCTGAGCCGTCCCGTGTTCATGCTTCTTACATTCCACATTCCCACAGTAATTCTATCTCTGCAGCTTCTGATGTTCTTTTCCCGCATAGCATCATCAGCAACTAGATACTCCAAAAGCTTTTCTCTAGCTGTGTTATAAATACCACAAGTTCCTCAGCTGCTCCTCAGTAATGCCAGCCAATGATGACGTTGGGCCCATCATGCAGCAGCATATTGTCAGCCAGCTTACCTTGCCTATCTATGTGGTTTTTCCTATTACCACTAAAGATCATCCATTTTCAACATCTTCCTTTACGTGCTTCTCAGTATAGATGCCTATTTGCTTTATTTGATCAACTGGGATAACTTTCACACCTTGGGATTAGTCTGGGGAGTTCTTGGCCATTCTTCCAGAAATTCATTGCTCATCCCTCCCAGGAAGACTGTCCCCATGAGAATGATGTAGCATAGCAAGATTTGAGGGGGACCTGCTTTTTAATGAACTTTAATTTTGTTGTCAAGAAGCTAATGGTTTAATTCAGTGGTTCTCAACCTTTTTAATGCCGCGACATTAAAGGTTGAGAACCACTGGTTTAATTACTTAGTTTAAGTTATTGTTTTAGTATGTATTTTATCCAGCCATTTTTAGTTCACATTTTTAGATACAGGTTTTTAAGCCTTCTTGAAATAAATGTTTAGTTTGAAGGGCAACATATAAACATTATAATAAATTTAAAAAATAAATAACTGCCACCTGGTTTATCATCATCCTGATCTGCATGTCTATGTATAATCATCAAGAATTATTTTTCTCTTTCACGAAAAACCCTTAAAGACGTTATTAGGAGGGCTATTTGAATCAGCCTTACAGCAATATACCTTCTTTTTCCATTAAGTAGAAAGATATAAAACAAAGTACCTTCTTCTTCCAATAAATCATTCATCTTCGAAGCAATTATGCAGTGCAAAGCAATGATATATAGGAATCATTTCTGCAGCAATAAATTTAAATGCAGATAAAAATAGTTTGGGCTAAAGCACAAGGTTAAAGGACAATTACGTGCATTGGATGCACATCAGATCCATCTGAGAAGTAATACAAGATTTTAATCGGTATCATTATGTCTTAAGAAGAATCAGTTGCTTTCAAGAAAAGGTTATTGATGTGCTGCATAACTATGCCCAAGTATCCGAAAGAGCCCATTAATCAGGGCAACATATCAGTAAGTGGTTTCAGGTATTCTACTGAAATAAATTTTATGTTCTCTATTATTATTTCCTAAATCTGGCTGTGAATCAATTTATAACTGGCAATATATGCAGACTGAATTTAAAGTCAGTGTTAACAACCTGAATCTACATTTACTGCAAACGTAGTTATTAAGAACTGAAAACCACCTTTACTGTAAACCACCTTTACAAAGAATCCACAGCTGGTAAATCTCAAAAACAAAAGCATCTGTGATTAATTTTCTCACTCTCCTTTCTAAGTATTAAAATCAGAAGAGAATACATAGGAGAGAATACAAGTTTGAATCAACTGTGTGTAAAATTTTACAAAAGAGATAATGAAAGATAAAAGAAAAATAGTAACTTCCTTTAAATAATTGACCCGTTCATTTAAAAAAAAAATTCAAGATAGCCACCTGTATGGTAAAACTACCAGATGAATCCAAAAGATTGCAAACTGAAATATTCAGCTTATACCACCAATTCAAACTCCTTTGAAAGTTCTTCAAACAATATATTTGCTAGATCAGTGTTTCTCACTTGATGATCTCCAGAGGTATCCAACTAAATTTATGATCATTTTCATTCAGCTTGGCTAATCAGATAAATGGAAGTGATAGTAGTTAAATGTATAGGTAGTCCTGGAGTTGTAACCATAATGGAGAGCCTACCCATCATGCTCTAATTAATGATGGTCATTTATGATCTTGGGTTGACGTGATTTTAAAACTTTTTTGCAGTGTTCGTTAAGTTAATGCCAAAGTCATTAAGCAAATCCCTAGTTGCTTATGGACCAGTTTTGTCAAAAACTGGCAAAATTGTCATAAATCATGCTCATGTGATTGTGAGCCACTGCAAATGGCCATAAATATGGCCTGGTTGATGAGTTCTCAAAGTGCTGTCATGTGACTGCAAGTGAGGAGTTACCATCAGAACTTCTAATCTGGGTTGTAAGTACCTCGCCAAATAGATCCATCGGAACTTTGAATGGTGGCTAAGTAACCAGTCATAAGTTAAGGACTACCAATGTATAACTACTAAACCACATGCTATTATGTCTTTCTAGAACAATAACAGATAACCTCACCTATCAAACCATGCTTCAATCAATAGTTCCCCTGAATTTTCCATTCTCCCATCTCCTCCAGTGTGCGCTGGCTAGACTGCAGAACTATCAAAGCCACACACTGCCAAATCAAGTAGAAGTAGAAGAACAGGATCTGTCTAGCTGCATATGATACTGAGTCAGCTTCAACTCTTTTAAGTGTGAACATCCAGAAGAGGAATCAAAAAAGTTAAGATGGTGACAATGACAAGATTTTCTGGTTATTCATTTTTTCCCATTAATTTTTGTTAAA